GAGCACTAGAATTGGAGTCAGGAAAGCTGGTTTAAATTCTGGCTTGGCCATTTACTGGTTATGTGTAAATTTGGCAAGTTACTTACCCTCTCTGAGCCTCCTACTTCTCATCTGTTAAGCAAGAATAATGAGCCCTGTCTCCAGGGAGGCTAAAAGGAGGAAACAATACTATCACTGATGAAGAGGCCTTTGCTCCTAATCCCTACTGGCTGACTCTGAGTTCTCTTCTAGCCAAGTCCTGCTCAAGTCCCCACTTGTCCAGCAAACCCTCCACCAACCATTCCTGATATCTTTATAGAAACCCTGTACCTATCTCCATAGTCTTGGCATGAAACTCTCAGTCTCCAGGCCTGTTTCAACAACATCAGTCATTTAACAAATGTTTATTGAGCACGTTCTATGTTCCAGGCACTGTTCTAGGAGCTAGAGATACAATGAACAAAACAGACAAAATCTCTGCCCTCATGGAGTTTGCATTCTAGTGGGGGGAGAGAGAAAAAAAGAGAAGTCAATTTTAGAGTGACACTGTCCAAAATGGTGGCCACTAGTCACGTGTGTATGTTGAGCACTTGAAATGTGGCTACAACAAATTGAGGTATGCAACAAGTATAAAGTACACACCAGATTCAAAGACTTAGTACCAAAAAAATGTAAAATATCTCATTAATATTGATGAGATATTGAAATGATATTTTAGATATATTGAGGTTAAATAAAATATATTATTAAAATTAATTTCACCTGTTTCTTTTTACCTTTTGAAATATGACTTCCAGAAAATTTTAAATTACATGTGTGGGCCAGGAGCGATGGCTCACGCCTGTAATCCTAGCACTCTGGGAGGCTGAGGTGGGAGGATCGCTTGAGCTCAGGAGTTCAAGATCAGCCTGAGCAAGAGCAAGACCTCATCTCTACTAAAAACAGAAAAATTAGCCAGGTACGGCGCATGCCTGTAGTCCCAGCTACTCGGGAGGCTAAGGCAGGAGGATCGCTTGAGCCCAGGAGTTGGAGGCTGCAGTGAGCTATGATGATGCCACGGCCCTCACTCTAGCCTGGACAACAGAGTGAGACTCTGTCTCAAAAAAAAAAAAGAAAAAAAAAATTACATATGTGGCTCACATTATATTTCTTTCAGACAGTGCTGTTCTAGAGTGTATTAGGAGGTGACAGGTACTATAGGAAAAGTGATGGGATCATGAAAAGGAGGAGCCCGAGTGCAGGCGGGGAAGGGAGGTTCATTGTAAATGCAGTGGTCAAGGTATACCTCACTGAGAAGGCAACAAGACTTGAAGGTGAGGGAGCCAGCTACACTGCCATGTGTGAGGAAGAGTGCTCCAGAAGAGAAGACAGCCTGTGCAAAGGCCCTGGGGCAGGAGCATGTCTACTACATTTGAGGAACAATGAACCCATTGTGGCTGGAACTGAGTGACCAAGGTGGGAGGTCAGAAGTCATTGAGTAATCAATCAGGGAGAGTGGTGCAGGCCTTTTAAGGCCATTGGGCTTTTTCTCTGAGTAAAACAGAGTCTCTGGAGGGTTCTGAGCCAAAAGATGGCATGATTCGGCTCCCATTCTAACAGGCTCACTCCGGCCATTGTGTGAGAATCAACTAAAAGGGAGGCCAGAGGAGATTCCAGGAGGCCAGTTTAGAGGCTCTGGCGAAAGTCCAGGTGGGATGACAATAGCACCTACCTCCCAGGGCTGTTGTGCAGACTTGGTGTTAGCTGGTGTAGAAGCTGGCACATGTTAGATGACTGGGAAAGGAGCACTTACTAGACCAAAAGGACGACCTTGCCTCCGGTTGTCCACACAGTGTAGACGAAGGGCCCAAAGAGCCCACACTGCCAGTCTCCCAGGGCGTCTCCCCACCCTCAGGCATCTCCCCCTGAAGGACGGCAGTAGCCTCCTACTGTCCTCTCTGCCACTCGCACTGTTGCCGGGCACCATGGAAAAGTGTGTCTGACCGGGCCACTCGCTGTTTGTGGCTAAGCTGCTCAGCTGTTGCCCATCCCTGACAGGTCTCAGGCTCCTGGCACGGAGCCTCAGACTCCCCTCCAGCTAACCTCTGCCTCTCTCCAGCCTCAACCCCCTCACCCACTCCCTGCCTTTGCTCTCACACTCTCCCTTCTGCCTGGGATGCCCTCCACCCTTTCACCCTCCCCCTGCCCTGTTCCACCTGTCTTCTACCTATCCTTTGAGGGGCAGCCTAGATATAATGTCACGGGAAGACCTCCCCCCGCAGCCACCACCCCCAATACAACTCCCACCCCCAAGCTAGATCAGATGCCCCCAGCACATTTTATGTACTTTCTATTCACAGATTTGTAGTTCTGTGTCTTCCCACCCACTCACCCTCACCAGATCCTTGAGGGGTGGAGTTGTGTCTTATAACAGCATCCTATGCCACAGCACAATAGCTGGCCCAATATTTATTCAAACCATCTTTATGGTTAGAGGAAGTGGATTTGGAGGCATTGCTCTTCAATGCCAAAGACCCAGACAGGTTCCACCTTCCCCAGGACCAGGAGAGAAGGCATATGCAGCTAGGTGGGGCAGGAGGTCCCATCAGCAGCAATCAGACCTGTGGGTCTATCTTTCAGAGGTTCAGGGACTCACTAAATTATACCCAAGGGTCACAGCCTCCCAGCAGCACCCCTTGCCCACTCCCAGCCTGTAGTGTAACCAACAAGACTCTACAGCAAAACACAGCCCTCTCCTGTTTCCTGGGCAGCAAGCTTGGAGACATGGCCAGTACTTCCTTGACCGAGGGACAGTGGCCTGGATCACCTAATTCCTGAAGGCAGCATTCCCCATTGCAAGGGCCCTCGGCTCCTAAGGAGCTGTCTCCCCTCCACCCATTCCCAGGGCTCCCCCAGGACCAGCCCAGACAGAATGGAAGAACGTTGCCCAGTACAACGAGGTGGGTCACCCCATATCCCATACATCAGACACCCCTTTCCCAGACCTAAGACAAATACCATGTTCCCCAAGAGAGGAGGGAAAGGGGGTGGGAGGAAGTCTGGAACAAGGATTCAATGGAGAAGGAGAAACCAAGAGGAGCTTTGAGATCAGAATTAAATTCTTTAATACAAAATGCCTTTTTTAAGATATATCTGTATTTCTTTGTTGTTGTTTAAAAATAAATATGTACTACGGAATATCTCGAAAAACTGCACTAGAGACAAAGACGTGATGTTAATATCTTTTTTCCCCCACAATTATTACGGATAAACAGTAGCACCAATAAATAAATGATAACAAATATTAAAATTAAAAAAGGAGAGAGATTTAGTATGTAGAATTCTCTATTTTTTCTTGTTTTGTTTTTACATATAAAAAACAGAATAGCAATGTCTATTTTATCAGAATCACATATATACATAAACATATATATATATATATATACACACAAACACAAGTTGCCAAATATATATATAGTATGTCGATGTATATTGAAACCTCATTTCAAAGGAATGTGTGGTAGGGAGCCAGGGGAAAGGGGAGGGCAGAGCTGAGTGTTAGCAAAATTAAATATCTGTTCAGGACAAGCTAGTGACTGTCACCGATCAGGGAAAAAGAGATTGGAAACATGGATTTTATACATAAAAACCAGTACAAATAAGATAGAGCAAGAGAGAACAAGAGATACATCTCATAAATAGTTGAAATTAAATATTAACCAAGAATACTGAAAAAAACCTAGTCTTTAATTAAATTAACTGTTTTAATTTCTAATTAAAAAGGGATATTAAATAAGTACCGTATATAAAACATTTTCTCTTTTCTCTGCCTCCACAGTGGGCACGTGGATCCTGCCCTATCTCTCTGTGCCTCGGGAAGGAAAGGGTCAGGGGGCGGAGGAGGGTTAACCACTCACACACAGCCAGGTCTCCTGGGGGGACAGAACTAGTGGTTTCAATGGTCTGAGGACATTAGGTTCCCCTGGGCTGCACCCCAGGAAGGGGTGGCAGGAAGAGGACCAGGGTGGGTCCCAGGAGGAGAAGCTGTCTCCAGGCTGCTGCTTCCACCAACGTCTCTTCTCTTGGCTGGGACCTCTGTCAGTGGCCTCCTGGGCAACTAGGAAGCGGGTCAGAGCAGAGGAGGGCCGCCCAGGCTCCTGAATCTTCCAGGCCGTGCCCCGGGGGGGCAAGATGCCCATGTAGCACGTGGAGAGGATCCCCAAAGCACAGCAATGTCCTGAAGCTCCACAAACTCCTATTCGGAGCCAGTATCCTCGTCACTGTACCTGTCATCCATCTTTCTGTCCATTTGACTCAGGGTAAAGGCTTGGCGCCAGGGCTGGGTTTGTCGGTGTTCCCAAAGGTGGGTCATATTTGCCCCCATGCCCTGGCCGTGCACGTTCCCAGGCAGGGGAGAGGACCCTGGCCCCCTAAAAGGGACAAAAAACATTGTGCCAGAGTCTTCCATCCCATCCTCTTCCCTGTCAGGATCTGGGTGGTGACATTCTCCTCAAACTCAAGTCCACAGCAGTCAAATACATCCAGTGAAGACACCAATAACATTAGCACTGTTAATTTAAAAAAAGAATATATATTCTCTATTTCTTAGGCACAATGTTTTACATTAAATATTTTATCTACCTTGTTAATTGTGTTTTATAAAACTTCTAAATTCTATATTCAACCCCCATATTCTACATGTTTATTTTTATATTCCCACTATTTTTGGTTGGCATAATCTATCAATATAAATCAAATATAAATCATAGTTTTGTTAAATTCTCACAATATAAGTATAGATTGTAAGTTTCTCCTTTTAATTCTATCTATTTGAAACTATGCTGTTGGTTGAATAAAAGTTCATGAAAATAGTGCTCTCTCTTTATTTTAGAACTTTCTGTGTTGCTTTGTTTAGCTGTGACTTTTATAAGCTCTTTATTTTAAAACTTTCTGTGTTGCTTTGTTTAGCTGTGACTTTTATAAGCT